AGACATATTTAACGTTTTTTTTTAATTTAATAGCGGCGGGGCGGGTTGTGAAAATAGACGGGATGGAGCAGGTCAAATTATTAAATAAATGAAGGACCCGCAGGTTTGGGTTTTTTCCAATCCGCGGGTCCTTCATTTATTTAATATCACTAATCCACACACCTTACCAAAAGGTAGGGGACTCACAGCCTGTGACGTAAGCACGTTGTGTCACACTAAAAAGAATCTGTGCGAAACGTGAGCTTTAAATTTAATTAAACGAGGCTTCGAGGCAGAGGAAATTCCTCCATCATTTTTTGTAATCGAGTTACTCAAGGAATCGTTGCAGCCCTAGTTTAAATACTCATGTCCCACAGAATAATCAATAGTTAAGCACCCTTCTTCCATGTCTTCTTAGTCTTGCTGGAGGACCCGATGATACATCAGTCTGCTGAGCAGATGATGTGCACACAGCTTCATCCGTGTTGGCAGATTGCCTTTTCTCATCAGGACTAAACCCAACATAGTCCCAAACAGCGCATGCTGCACACAAAAATACGTCACCTCAATACAGAAGGTTCCTACTCTTTTTAAGAAAATTGTTTACCAGGACCTTTCCAGGACATTTTCCTGGACTTTGAGCAGACCCCCATCATCCACTGGATGGATTGGTTTTTAAGTTTGCTTTTTTATGTCAGTATGGTCACCTGAGCAATATTGGATCAGTCTCACCCTAGCATCAGCATAAAAAAGGGGGATGTTATCAATCACAGGTATACACACTCTAGACCCGACCTCGCCATTTCATATAAAAATATTTTACCTTGTTGTTTGGGCACCTCCTTTCGTCCAATTAAATCCCAGTTTGTTGCTCCAAAGATGAGCAGTTGACCCTTTACCTTTGGACACTCAAGTTTCTGTAAAAAGGACACAGTGAGGTCAATGACAAAACAGTGTTGTCTAAACTCAAAAAAATAATTCTTTCAACAACTGCAGCTTGATCACAGCATCTGTGATTTGATTAAAGGAACACTCTAAAATTTGAGAAATAAAGAAATAACACTTTTTTTTATCTCGATTTCCAAGTTTGAAGACATGCCCATGTATTTATTTTCCCCTGCATTTCTAACCAACTGCTGATGAACAAGGACTTTTTATCAATACAGTATGCCATTACAAGAATATTTTTTTTCAACACCGAGAAGATAAAAGAAAACTACATTTCACGCCAAGGGTCAAACAAAGAGTAAAAAAAAACAAAAAAACATGTGCAGATGCTGGTTGGAAGTCATTGTTATAAAAAGGTACTAATTCAACATTCTGACTTCTTAATTTGTCAAAATCATAAAGATACTTGTGAGAATCGAATGTGTCTGCCCCACTTCTCCCAATCAATTTACTGGCCATTCATAGATGACAGGCCATACAATAAATGCACATTTTAAATTGCAAAGACAATTCTGGCAGTTCTCTAAAAAGACAATTCAGTTACAGACAGTACATCAAACCTACTATTTTCTCCTTGACATCGTCTGCCACAGTGACAGGCTGGAGACCAGACTTGGCAGCAGGTTTCCCAGGTTTCTTGTTGTTCTCCTGCTCGTAGTCAAATTCATCATCGCTACTAAAGTCCCTCTCTTTCCTTTTACCGCTGGCCCTCTTCTTTTTCATACCACCATTCCCTGAGACATCTGTCACCTTCTTGCGTGGCATTTTTCAAACAGAAGCTGTTTTTGTGGGAAAGAGGAAGTGATCAGTTTATACAGGGTGAAATTATAATGTGCAATTAAGACTAACAGTACTTGCACTCAAACCAATGGAAATGTAAAAATCAGAGCAAAGAAAAATAAAGAAATATTTCGAACAAGGCAAATGGGAGATATTACACATAGCATAACAAAAAAGTTGACACCAATTACTACAACTTATTGGCAGGTTGTGGAAGAATGGACTTTGTTGAACGCAATAACTCACACTAATGTTTTTCGTTAAATTAACTTTACACACTTAAAACAATTGAGCTTTGACTGTCTGTAAACACATACACCGCTACTGACTAGATCTCTGCATGTGTGCGTATCTTTAAACAAGGTTAAGAGAAGCAAGTTTACTGGAGATGTTTTAAGTAACATTAGCCATTGTTACCTTTATTGTAAAGAATCAGCCATTAAAGAGAAAACGTGGCCCGTTTTCTTAAATTACCTTCTTCACTGGCTCTTTAATCAATAGGCAATGCAAACAAGCACCAGAAACCAAAATCAAACAGCAAACTAAAACAGATACCGCTGTCCGTCGAGTACCTAGACTCTGGTAGGTAGCTGCTAGCTTCATTAGGCTAAGCAGCTAACCACTGTCGTTCTTTGTTCACATAATGGTTGGGTAGCAAGCTAACGTTAGCTGACGTGCTAACGTACAACTTGTGAAGTTACAGTTACCGATACGCAGACGACCTAGACAAAGCTTATATGTTATACAGAAATGGCTAATTCAATTTAACCCAAAGTGAAATAAGTTTAGTTTAAAATTTCTCAAATAGCTTACTAGTGTTCACCAAGCTAATGTTACCTCGCTACTGCAAGCTAACAGGCATTCTAAATAAAGACATGGACACTAAAGCTACACCAAACGACAAAAACAAAAACTTTTTCGTTATTTTCTCGATTGGACAAGTTTTACGTTTAGCGTACGTATAATTTCTGTGATTTCGAAAAATGTTATTTGTAAATGTATAAAGTAAAGAATAAATAAATGTACCGGTGATTTCCTGATTCAGCAGCTCTTTGCCCGTCTCCGGTTTGATTGATTTGAACAAAAGAAGCTGCAGTCTGCTTTCACACCACGTGGTTTGCATTAAGTATTCATACAGGAAACCAAGCACTCACTAATACATACAACTGCAACTTCGTGTCCAACTAGGCCTGCAAATACTATGACGCAAAACACAAATGGACACTCCCACTGAACACACAACTTCAACTGAACCGACATAAACGTGAATTAAAAGTGTCTTATTGGCACTGAAGAAAACTTTTATTGAGAAATCAAACACTAGCATAAAAAATGACCAAAACTTGGAAAAAAGAATAAATGTGATAAATGTAGTTTTTGACCATGTACTATATACTTCATACTTAATCTATTTCGTTATACAACTCAAGGTTGTATAATAAAATGAAAGTTTGCAGTTCCTTCACGCTATATACATAGAAAAAGATAATGAAATTCATAGAATAATAATAAGAAGAGGATATACTTTATTAATCCCCTAGGGGAAATTGTTCTTTTCACTCTTTTTTAATACACACACACAGG